GTATATGATGGACAGTGACGACCAGCACAAACGGTGAACAACTTCTTTAAATCAATACAGTCTAAACTTTAACATGTTTTTAGGTTTTCATTCTAAAATATAGCCTATACTATAATAACGGAAGATAAAAATGTTTTAATTATCACATTTTTTTATAAAATAAAATAGCTTTCAATTAAGACATGGATTTGTTTATTCATGCATACAGCACAACTAGCAGCATTTATTAGGAATCCTATCAGTGATCAGCATTATAGATAAGGAACTGATCACAGAAAAGGTACTAGAAGGGCACAACAATTTGAAGGGATGCTATATGGCTTTTATGGTGGAGCCAATGAGGATTACAAACTACCACAAGAACTGTACCCTTTGGGCAGCCAACCAACTATGAAACAAAAAGCGTGATCTTTACCATGAAAAATAGTAAAGCCCCAGGAACTGACCTTATCACTGTGGAACTTATAAAACTAAGTGAAAACGAACTGCATAGACAAATATAGAGCTTCATATCAAGAATTTGGCAGGAAGAAGAGAAATGCCAAATAAAAAGGGGTACTGCGCTCAATTCACAAAATTCACATGAGAGGATCTAAACTGGAATGCTCAAATTACAGAGGAATCTTCCTAATTAATGTAACCTACAAAATCATCAACAAATTAATAGCAAGAAAACTGAAAAGGTTTACTGAACATATTCTACGTGACTATCAATTTGAATTCAGACAGAATAGACCCACCACAGATCATATTTCGATCACCAGATGTCTCCAGAAGAAATGCTAAGAAACATCCCCATACACCAACTATATGTGGAATACACAACAGCTTAGACAGGAAATATCTGCAAAGTGCACTATAGAAAATTGGAGTTTCTAACAAACTTACCTGGTTTATACATGACGATGGTTACCTCCAAAAAAAGAATCAAAGTACAGGAAGAGTACTTGAGGAACTTTCATATTAATCAGGGCCACTGAGTCAAGGACACTCACTGGCATGTATCCTATTTAACATCCCTTTAGAAAGCGCTATGAGAAACATGCATGTGCGCACCAAACAGAATCTCAACCATCAGGACACCAACCAACTTTAAAAAGCCCAACCAGTGCAGTACCTGGCATATGCAGACAACATAGCTTTACCGGGGAGAAGCAGCATTGATATAATTTAAGCATTCCATGAATTAGAAGAGTTACCTCTAACGGTAAATGAAACGAATACAAAGTGTATGTTAGTCACGTATCAGACACACAGGTGACAAAATCAAAGTAAACAAGCACACCAGAGAGAGAGAGTGAGTGAGTGAGAGAGACAGATGAAATAATGACAGAGATGAAAGAAAGGATAAAAGCAGGCCATTCTTATTTCGGCCTACACGAGCTACAACTAGGAAGCAGAAATCTCTCAAGGAAAACTACGATGGCCCTATACACAACTTTACCTGTTCAATACCTGGAAAATCCTCAGAAAAATATACAGTGTTAGATAATGATGGATGGGTATATATATCCCCTCGGGCTCTGGTTGACAAGTTTGTAGTGGCTTGCTGGCTAAAGAGGTGCTGCCCCCTAGCGCTAGACTTGGACCAAAACCACCATTATTGCGTGAGCCTGTGCTGGCAGACAAAGAGCGTGCATAGTATCTGCCGAAAATGGAAGCACTTAAAGGGCTACCAGCTGTGGAAAATCTACAGCTGGAAATAAAACGTCAGAAACAGGGTAGGGAGCATGATTACATGTTGCCCTTTAAGGATACGAGGCATGAGGTGGGTAGTGGCAACTCATGCCAATGGTTCTATTTAGATAGCAGTTAAGGTAGTTGTACCTAGGCAACCGTTTCGTCCCAGCTGCTTCGTAAATTAATTTAAGGTAGAAACCCACTGTAGAAATCTGTATCTGACGGCGTCAGGCGTTCCCAGGGATGGGCAGAGTAAGATTTTAGGATGTAAATACACCATCCCGACTCCTGATGCTGTGAGAGAAGTTTCACCGGCCTACCGGATGTCCTTGTGCTGGGGTGACCTCCACTGGTAGTCAATGGAGTGAGTGCGGGCTGGGGCTGTCCTGGCAAAGGGAATTCTCCAACGTTCCGCTACCCAGCCCGATAACTCAGGCTTGGGGAGTGAGGGCGTGTGTGCTTTGGGGAGGGCATAAAGAGCTAATGTACTAGCTCGACAGCCCGCTGATGCAACTTCCTAATGAACATTTTCAGTACCGGAACCATCCGTAGTTGCTGCAATTTAAATGTGCAGGCTGCTTTGGGCAAGAAACCTTGAGAGGATATTAGATTGTAGAGCAGCAAAAGTGATCTACAGACAGAGGCCTAGGGGTTAACGGCTCATCCGTCGACGAAGACTGATATGGATTGAGTTGTAAAGGACTAAAATCACCTGGAAGTGTAAAGTCATGGATCAGCTTAAAAGGGAGGATGTTGTAGAGCAGACCAGGCCCCTATGATGGGCTGTAGCACCTATGATGATGTCTGAATGGAAGGATGTGGTGAAACAGGCCAGGGCCCTACTAATGATCAGCATTAACAAATTGATCTGTTTATCTATCTCTATTTCTTCCATTTAGCGGCATACTTATTATTATAATTATTTAATTTGAATTTTTGGATGATGTTTAAGAATGATCAACAAATAATTAAGTCTAGACATGGCTATAAATCGAAAATCAGCATGTACTGTAGATCCCTATTCAAAGGCCTATTTGCACAAAAAATATTTCAATGGTATAAGTGGGCCTTTAAGTCGGTCACAGGAGGTTTTTACCAGGTACATTGATTCTATTATAGAAAACAATAAGATTGTGTCTGTGTGTGAGCATATGACTGATTCTGTTCAGTGTGGTTACGGTATATACATGTAGAAAAGTGAAGTGAGTCGCTGTTATACATAATACTGAATGTTTAATAGTTTTAAGTCTTTTTAATAAGCAATTATTTTTAAGGTTTCGAAGAAAACCTTTAAAATAATTTTCCAGCCAAAACTGAGATTGTGGTTGGCTTATGATCCATTGGGAATAAATTTCCAAGATCCCAATAATGGCAAGTTACCTCAAGATTATTACCCAGTGTGATAAATCAAACATCAAGTTAAAATGTGAAAAAATAAAACCAAAAATATATTTTTTTAAATTAGTGGCATAGGTAATGAAAAATAAATAGAATAAAAAGGACTGGATTTACCTGAAGTAAAATGTTGACCAGTCATTGTCCTGGCATGTCATGATTCATCCTGCACATTCATCATAAGAGCAGCTGTGAATTCTGGCAGTGATGGGGGTCTTCAAGTGATCCCTGTGAAAACAACAACTTTAACCTGGAAGTAAAATAATACATTAATTAGTAGAAGACAGAAACTTTATTATATTAGAGCGCAAGCTTGCATTAATATGAAGACAATATCCTATGAACAAATTTTAACCTGAAAGTTACCATCATAAAAAGTACCCAAAAAATTAATCACACACTTGGTGTAATCATTGCTTTTACACCAGCCATGTTTGCATGGGTGTTTCGACAAAAAATTCCTGGTTTTCTAAGGGAAAGTTGAATAGCTTTGTTTATTTAATATATTAAATAGTTAAAGTCCAAACACTATTGGAATCAGGGAGGTGTGTTAAATGAACAAAAGAAAACCTTCAAAATGGTCATGTCAAGCTCAGTGCAAGATTTTAACTACAACTGCATTAACTGCATTACAGTAGAGAATCTTTAAAAATGTAAATAAGATTTTTTTGTCATAGATCAATGGTAATATAATTCTAACCTGCAAGATGTAGCTCTTGATTATTACTACTATGATTTTAACCAAAAAAATATATGCTATAGCGACTGATGAATCTAAATATAAGAAGCAATCCATCTAAATAGCTCTTTTGAATTTTTCAATCATTTCTTTTACAGCAAAAATGCACTCAATATGTCAGAAGGAAATTTAGATTTTTTAGGAATTTTTATCTAATTTTAACTAAATTAGGAATGTGCAAGACTTTACCCTAACCTAATCAGTGAAACTAACCATTCCAATACAGTCTTTTGATATTTTTTACATGCACTTGCGGGATTTATCTTTATATAAAGTGCATTCAAAGGATCAAGATACTAATATTTATTATTGGAAGGGGGATTAGGATGATGCTAGGTGTTAAGAGAAAATGTAAAGATATGTGTTTATTATGGCATGTAATTGACTAGGACAGAGGCTCCCAGACTGTGTCCTGCTGCAACCTGAAGTGTTAAAAAATTAATGGACTTAATGCAAGCCATTTATAATTAAGTTGGTATTTTTCACTAGTTCTCCAACCTACTTGGTACTCTGTTCTTATTAAAGTAGCAGTTGGTTTTGCGCAGCGTCTATGCTGTATAAATATTTTTTTGATAGTCAAGTGAAGTTAATGAGGTATGTCTTCTTGTATAAGTATAAGGTTTCAAAAATGGATTAGACTGTTTAAAAAGTGCTATTTTACAGTGCACAAAGAATGTGGCTTATTAGAGCAAAATTGACAATACGTGGGTGCTGGATTTTTTCTTGGCCGACGCTCAAGTGGTAGATTACCTATAGGCCTATAGAACTATATTTAAAATAGAATTAAAAAATACAATAAAATTATACACATAAACGAATTCTTACTTGCTTTTAGCTGTAGGCCCTACGTCAGTCACATTGTTTCTTCAACGCGACCGGTTCATAAAAGTCTTCAAAATATGGCACATTTCTCGAATGATAGTAAGTAATGGCTTTAAGATTTTAAGATGGCAAACCAGCAGGAAATATCCGTGATAACTGTCACGTGACCAACCGAAGACCTCATGTGACCAGCCGGGTCCGAATAGCCAATTGCTGCTATAGGTACCCGGGGTACCTATAGCCTCTCTGTTTTTAAGGTAATGAGTAAGGTTTTTTTTCTCTAACTGAGAGATTTCTGCTGTTATAAGTAATCCTAATAATATTTTTGTTTAATGCGAAACTATCATTCATTACAAGCACAAATGTTTATTACCTATTAGCCAATTATAGTTTCCGCTTTCTTTTTCTCTAGGCTTCAATTGATAATAATGCCGCCGACCGTTGCTAAAAAGCCATTATTTCCAGTAACCCCCGAACCAGTTACTGATGTAAGCGTCTACTTTAAATTAAGATTAAATCATTGTTATAAAAACGTCTGGCGTATCACTTAGTCACTTAATGGTCGTAAATTAAGCTTTAGACTGAATAAATCATGCAAAAGTTTCGTATTTTTAATTATTATAATTATAAGTGTTACTGATACTGTACTATAAATTATATAACGTAAAATTATAGTATAATTTATAGTGGCTAATAATCATAATAGTGAAAGTACTATAATTATAACAAGAGACGTCATCTAAAATTTAAAGCGACTTAAGTAGTTTATGACTGTTCACTGTAACTGTGACTGTACTGTTGTACTACTTACTGAACTGTAGACTGGCTGTTATGTTGTATTTTGGTGTAAGAAGAGTAGAAAGAACTAACTTATTGTACTTTAACTTTCACTGACTTTAACTTTAAGAAGTAAAAATTAACAAGACTAGAGATGTCAGATGAAGAGAAAGAAAGTTTTAGTCATGTAGATAAATAATAATTCTTTTACTTTAGTCAGTTTAAAACATAGTTTTAATTTGAAGCCTGTTACTGTTACTACTTTTTGCTTAATATTTTTAAGGCAAGGACAACCCAGATTTTTAATGGACACATGTTTGTTAAATAAACTCACAAAGAAGCCTTAAAAAAGGACATGTGAGGGGTAGGATGAGAAATGCCCTAAGTCTAATCCAAAGCATATAAGTATAAGATAATTTGTAATACTTGATTATATGATGGGTAGAACTCAATAGTTCCTTGCCTTCATAAAATTGCAATGAACCAAGGCCTCATGAGCCTAGGCCTAAGCATAATTCAAGATAAACATAGCTGCATAATTTTTATAGATAATTTATAATAAATTTAATCAAAAGCCTACAATATAAGGTGCATAACAAATTGAGCCCCAGGAAACCTAATTCATACAGTCAAAGTACAGGCCTCAACTTGCTCTACCTGCTACCCAGTCACTTCAAAAAAGAAGTTCAAAAACTGTACGACTACAGTTTTATGACCATAAGGCTTGAGCACAAATGCTTCTTATTTTGCTTCAAATGATTTTTTACATGTCCCATTTTTTTAAAATGGACAATAATTTTTTTTTTCTTTAAATTTATTTTCCAGCAAACTCCAGTCCAGGCTCAAACAATTATTGTTATACAGCCCGGATCTGTCAATTTAAGAATAGGTCGAGCAGCTGATGCTTTTCCAATCACAGTACCACATTGCATTGCAAGAAGATGTCCTAATCCAGCTAATAGATTGCCAGATGATTATATGCTTTTACGTCCAGAATGTAATGTAAGTGTAAGCCAGCATAAAATATCTGAGCCAGATCGATTTTTGAAAATCTTACAACATAAAGGGAAAAAATAAAAATGAGAAAACGTCTTAAATTAAATAATCACATGTAAATGTGAATGAAAAATTAATTATTTATTAATTGATAAAATCCTTTTTTATTTAAAAAAAAAAGGAAAATTTAACATACAAAAAGTGAGATTAATGTTGCCTACCAAAAAACCAATCTAGTAATATCGTTTTGTCCCCAGGTGGATGCAAAGCATATATTAAAACATTGTATTTTTCTCAGCATCCCGAGGCAGGCCAACAAATCAGAGCAGGTCTAACTTCTATTGAAGAATTATTATTATCACGATCAACCCGGGCAGGAGAGTACAGACAAATGACTTTACCCAGGCAGGTAAGCTTTCATATTTTCCTACCAGTATATTATCTAAGCAGGAAAGCTCTAGTATATTCGTATATTTCAGTGGTTTTCAATTGGTGTGTTGTGACATAATGGTTTGTCACTGGAGCCATGTGTGTAATATAAAGGATAAAATTGATGAGAAAATACATTTATTTTCAAAATATGTAGTCGTTTGAGGTAAGATGTTACCTATAAATATAATCCATTAATTTGATCCTGATGCTCATCGGCACTGTCAAAAAATATTTCACTTTAATGGGAAAAAATATTAGTTTTATTATTTTACATAATCTAATAATAGAAGGTTTTAAATATATTCAGTACACTTTGAATATCTAAAATTATTTTTTTTCTTCAAAAATACCAAAGAGTAGCATTAGTTATCTAATACTAATAGTAATATGTGCATATATTTTCTAGCAGAATTTTAGAAACTGAGAATTAACTCAAAATTTACAATTAACTCTTGATTAAAAAATTGTGGAACAAAACTATTTTAAAATGTGTTTCCTTTTCAGCTAATGGCATTTAATTCACAAGTCCCACCTGAAAAAATAGAATCAACCGACACACCTTCATGGACAGATACAGAAAAAAAGCCACCATATTTCGTAGGCGAAGAGGTTGGTATAATTTTATAAAAGTTTTGGTTTAACAGCTTTTTTTTTAAAATATGTTTGTAAGTTATTTATTTAATTAATTGAAAACTGTTATTTATATATTTTAAAACTTTCTAATTAAATTATGAATGAAATAGCGAAACGAGGTATGTGGAAGCTTGAAATAAGATAACAGGACAAAAAGCAAGGACGTTTCGACATTTTAATTGTCGGAATGAATTTAATTTTTACATTTAATTTTCAGGCTTTGTATATACCTCATAAAGAAAACTATCGCCTCAGTTGGCCTATGAGACGAGGCCGCCTTAATGTACATGATGGACCTGGAGGCTCACTAACGTCCATTTTAGCTGATCTAGAAACAATTTGGAGCCATGTTTTACAGGAACACCTTGAAATTCCAATCAAGGACTTGAAGGTTTCTATTTTAATTGGAGAATCTATTATTTGGCTTGTAAATTGTAACTAAATCTAACACTTATTTAAAATGTTTAAAGTTCTTTGAACTTGTCATTATTTATATGATTATTTGAGAGAAATAAAATTATTTAGACCATATTTATCTTATTACCGGTACCAACAAGGAAAGTGACTCTCTTTTACTCTTGAAGTTGAAGCTAAATTTATCATATATATAATTGTGTATGTTAGTGTTAGTTTAATGTTATTATTTTTAAATATCTAAGCATTACAGAGCAGTCCTGTTGATTCCAGACGTATATGTACAGAAGCATGTCAAGGCATTTGTTAATCTTCTTTTGAATACCCTGGGTTTTGGAGCAGCCATAGTTCACCAGGTAAACTATATTCCTCCACTCTGTACGAGTTTTGGCCATTCAATCCATAGAGCAAAACACACATTCGTTAAAAGAAGGCAAATCTTCCTCCACCCTCCAAGTTTTTTTATTATGAATTTGTCAAAAACACATTGAACATTAACTTTTAAGATGATGATATATTGTGTTAATGATTCATGATGCTGCTTAAGTTGCTGCCCTGAAGTGTCTTTTTGGTTTTGTTCAGGAGTCTGTCTGTGCCACCTATGGATCTGGTATTACTGTAGCCTGTGTGGTGGATGTTGGAGATCAGAAGACAAGTGTCAGCTGTGTGGAAGATGGGATTTCTCACAGAGCCTGCAGGTTTGACACAGTCGTGTTGAATGGAAGTGGACTGGAAGTCTGTCTCTGTTATGTGTATAGATTTTGCAACTTCCTGTATATATATTTTCTGAAACTCTGCACAGTATATCTTCTGAAAGTTCCTGTGTCTCTGTATAGATTCTGAAACTGTTTTGCACTCTTTCTTACAACAACAAACAATTATTTAATGACCAATGGCCTGCAACAGACTAACATTCATCACTATAAAGTGTTATAGTACCAGTATAGAAGACCTGTTTACCCTCAAACTCTTAAAATCGTACAACATCATCACAAAATCGTTCAATGCATTATCTTAATAGTAAAAATAAACATACCATATATATAATGTATACACCTCAAAATTGTACATTGTACGCCAAAATCGTAAGAGTAAACAGGTCTGGTATAGTCTTAAATTACTATCATGATGGCACTGGAAAACCTTGTTTGAAAATCTTGGTTTTTGCATTTGGCCAAAGTCATTTCACGAACTCAATATTCTATGTTATAAAAAAAACATATTGACGTGGATCATATTTGAAGCCGTATCATTAACAGTATTGTTGATCTCCTTTGGTACCAGTATCATTTATTTATCTCAAATAGGGTTACGATGGAGTATGGGGGAAGTGATGTCAGTCGACTGTTCCACTCTCTACTTGCACGCTGTGGAGTGGCACTCCCTGAACTCAATATGTCTCATCCAGCAGATGTCATTCAATTGCAGGCCCTGAAAGAAACATGCTGTCATTTGAATCAGGTTTCTCATTTTATTTTTACAAAAATTATTCGCTCGCAAGTGAGATTATACTCACCTTGCAACTTAAAGAATTTTAATAGATTTAGGTGCAAACGTTCATCTTTATAGCTGACCTTTCTGAACAGGAAAGCCTCGTTCTAGTAATCTACTTAAACTTAGTAACTATACAACAAACAGTTGTAATATACTTTGTACCTGTATAAACAGCTTGTTATACACTTAGTACCTGTACAAACAGTTCTTAGTTTAAGAGCTCACACACTATTTTTAGTTCTGTTTAATTAACAGGAGCAGTATGGAGTCTCACAGCAGAGTCTTGAAATTCATCGTCCTGACAAGACTGTAATAAAATACTGTGTGAAGTTAGGTGATGAACCAATTCTCGGACCAATGGCCTTGTTCAGGCCAATGGCATTTGGTCTACTGGGTGATCATTTAATTCGTGTGCAGTCCAGGTCAGAGGCTGATCCTGATGATCCACATGATGAGGATTACCTACGTCAAACACAACGTCAATCTTGGGTAGTAACATTAATTTTGGGGGTCATTCTTGGGTAATATTGATAATGGAGGTCAATTTTGGTTAAAAATTTGAATTTTGACAATACCGGTACAAATCCTATAACCATTAACAGAACTTTAATCAAATTTTTGAGTTTAAATCAAATGGCGAAAGTCATTTGGGAAAAGGAAGGGGGGGGGGGAGTTGTAAACAAATCCACGGACCCCCACCTTTTTAAATATATGTAAATGGCGAAAGTCATTTGGGAAAAGGAAGGGGGGGGGGGGGGGTTGTAAACAAATCCACGGACCCCCACCTTTTTAAATATATGTAGGAGTCATGTATTGATTTGTAATATTAAACTATTCCAGAAAATAAATATCCAAATGTAAGTAAGTCTTTCGCAATAGAGTACCATTACTACAATGTTTGAAGTACCAGTAATAAATTTGTAACAGTGTTTTCAAAAAATATATTGCAATCCACTTGTGTACGGTGTTATGCATTTCTGTTTGTGCACTATCAAATTAATTCTCTTTTGTTTTGTGACTATTTTGAGATGCACTTATATTCTGAGTTATGAATAATAATTTTTTCATGATGTAAATCTTAAGAAAATTGCTTATCCAGTTCCAGAATTCAGTGCATAACTTTACATTTAAATTTAAGTTATTACTATTTGAGATTGTTTATATTCGAGGGCGCTTAACATTATTATTTTTTTTTTACAAATCTTAAAAGTTTAACTAAAATTTCAATTTAAACAACAAGACTTGTCTACTTAGTATTTAATTTATAATTTTAGGCTGGTCGCATGGCTGGATCAAAGAAAGACAACGCAGACATGTCCCGTGACACATCTGAACAGAATCTCAGCCAGCTAGATGATCTGACCAATGGTCCTCTTGATGATGACTCCAATGATGTCCCAGATGTTATGCCCACAACAGGTAGCCCTTTTTATTTGGGCATTCTCCTACCATCTTTATCAACACAATATTATTAGGCTTTGTATCACAGTCAACGTTCGCATTACCAACAATTTTTTTACAGAAAGCAAATGCTCCCTGGTCCAGATGTTAAACATGCTTACAAATAGAAATTTTTTATTGGCTTTTTAATTTGTCTCTGTATTCAACCTTATCCAAACTTTTTTATGTTATTCCCTTTAATAGCTGGGAGAGTTTGAAGGCTATTATAATAATTCAATGACTGCATTCAAGCTAAGTAAATGAAATAGCAAAACGAGGTATGTGGAAGCTTGAATTTAAGGATCCATTTTTTTAATATTTCTTGAGTTGTTTACTGTGCTCTGTTCCTTGTGATATTTTCATTTTTCCTGTGCGCTGAGGAAGGCTCTATGCCGAAACGTTCTAATCTTATTGTTCTGTCCTTAAATTCAAGCTTCCACATACCTCTATTTGCTATTTCATTGAAGGTTATTACAACGTGTATTGTGAATTTATAGGACTTGGATATTATTATTATATTGGTCTTTTACAGCGTGGTACCCCAGACCAATGTAATAATAATATCCAAGTGCTGAGCTCACTGCACAGCTCATAAAAATATTAGCAAACATAATGATTACATTAAAAAATTACGTCCATTTATTTAATTTTTTTTAAAAATATATATATATATATTCCCGCCCACCCCAGAACTATTTACTATATTGGCATTATACATACAATAATACTTGACCATTGAACACAGGTTAAAAAAACTGCAATTTCATGCAGACTCAAGAGTTTCATTTCATGGATTTCTAATGTTTTTAGTAGAGACTTAAGTTACAGTCAGTTACAGGTACCGGTACTTCAAAAAATGTTCCTTGAGAGATTTGTTATCAGCTGTAGGCCATCAAAAAGACCAATATGTTCATAAATTAATTTTACATTTCAAATGAATAATTTCAAGGATTTACTTGATATTTACTACTGGTTTCAAAACACAAAAATAGGATTTATTATATATTTATTTAAAAGTTCTTATTTGAAAATACTTTTAGTTTTTGTGAATGAGAGAACATTTTGAAACTAATTTTTAAAAATTCTTTTCGACATAAGTGAAACACAATTCCTCACCAATGGCATTAATTTTAATTCTTGTTTTATTCTTATACTGGTACTTATAATGTTATTGTTAGATAATTATTTGCTTTTGCACAATATCTTTGATAGACAGCAAGTCAAATAGAAAAGGTGATGATGATGAGGATATTGAAATAGATGAAGAAAAAGATCTTCATTTGATGGGCGTCGATGAAGCCATTATTCACAGCATAGAAAAGTGTGGTATGTTTCAATTGGTTCACATGATTAAGTCATTTAAATTGTGCTATTTGAAAGTACAAATTATGCTATAATAACTGACAGATTGCTATGAGCTATAGTCATTTTAACTATTATCCCACAGTTTTGTATAGAATCTGTACTATGGATAAAGCATGCAAAATAATTGAAATAGTGTGTGACAGTTGTAAATAAATTTAAATAAGTGATGAAAAGTTTAATTCAGTTGCAATTGAATTTTTAAAAGATTTTAACACTCATATTTTTTGTTACATTATTTGGTGTTAAAGTTATCTGAGTCTGGTTAGGTTTTAGTAGTGTGGTAATGCACTCAATCTTCTATTTTTGCAATAATTTCAGATTCTGATGAATTGAAACGTAAACTTTACAGCTGTATCCTTGTAGTGGGTGGAGGACTGCAGTTTGATGGGGCAATGACCTGGTTACAGCATCAGGTTTGGCAATCTTTGCCCATTAGCATGCGGCAGCAGCTGGAAACTATGGATATTATTACAAAACCAAAGGTGGAGTTCCGTTTTTTTCTTCTTGATTGACTAATTACGTAAGTCTGTAAATAATGATTATTTATTTTTTTACAGTTCGATAGTTCTATTCAATGATAATGGTACTTTAGTTGATCGAAGTTATTTCCAGAAGACAGTTTTGTCAGCTTAACCCTTTACAGCCCAAGTATATTCAACCTTTTCTAGTCCAAGCCACCAAGCAAAGGGACATAACTTCATTTTAAATGAAGGTTCTTTATCTAATTAATTTACAGAAAATAAACTAGAAGCAAGAAAATAAAATAAAAAATACCTAAATACAAATAAATGATTTAAGCAAAAGTTGCCATTAAAAACAGTTTCAGGGACCCTCCCACTTTGATTATTGAAAAATTCCCATACCACTTATAAAAAAATCACTACTTTTATAACTTTTACAAAAATCATAGAAAATGAGCCCCTAAACACACCGTGTTCAAACGAATATCAAAATAAATGCAGACAACTATGCTTTCTTCCCACAAACTACAAATAGTAATGCGCAATGGATTTCCGCTGTGCTAAGAACAAAAGTGAACAACCTCAAAACAGGCAGGTTTAGCCGCAACGTGATGTAAAGGGTTAAAATGCAGTCCAATAAGGTCACTTAAAACTTTAAATTTAAGAAATTAAACATTTTTTTAAAAAAACTATTTCAGGAGATGGACTCAAGTTTTACAAGTTGGAAAGGAGGGGCAATCTTAGCATGTCTAGATTCAACACAAGAACTATGGATACGACAGAGAGAGTGGAAACAGTTTAGTGTAAGAATGCTCAGAGAAAGAGCACCATTTATATGGTAGCTTAAATGATGGACTGATTGAGTAAAGAAAACTGGAATTTTTAGACAAATGTTGAGAATTTTTATTGTACAAAAGTAACATATAGGACATCATACTTTAGCAAGGCCAACTTAATATTTGATTTTTTGGCACATCATAAATAAACTGTTTCCTTTAGTATCAGGTATGTCAGAACTCACAAAATAATTAAACAGATGATACATATAACCTTAGAATAGTTTTAAAGAAATCAGTAATTTTTCATTTATATTAAAAATAAACTTACATTTTGCTTGTTTCAGAAAGGTATTGGAACTTTTGATCATTTTTAAATAGGCTTTTTTAAAAAGGCCTGATAATTTTGGGGAGGGGCGTAATCAAGGCTATTTTATAATATCTTGATGTGAATGTTTTCAATGTATAATTGCAATAAACTTATATTTTGTAACCAAGACACTTCACTCTATTTTTTATCAATGTTGGATTGAATTTCAACAGAATCATGAGATTGCTGATATATTGTTGACATGTTCTTAAGTTTCGGACAAAATACTAACTTGCATAAAGTTTTGTCTTTAAATTTAAATTATTTAGACAATAGACCTTTATTTTAATTATATTCTCAAAACCTATTTATTACCGGTACGCTGTTTTTGGTTGTAACCTGATCACATGAAACTGAAATCAATGAAAGACTACCCAAAAATGAAAATCACCATTTTAATTTATTTCCAACTTTCTTTTTCTTCTTGGTTAATTTCTCCTTATGTCTTTTAATGGCTCGCTGATTCATCCATTCTGGGTAATGACCATTTTCATCTTGTTTAGTTTTCTTGTCAAAATGTTTTTGTGTCTTGTCCACCTCCATTGAAGAACCTAGAAGAATCCAAATTTTACTACTTGTACTTGAACTTGTATTCTTTTGAACTGTCTCAAATTTTCTTAATGTCGATATATAACGGTACTTTAAAAAGAAATTATGTTCTTAACTTCATTAGCACCTCAAATATAAACCCCTTTTAATTAAAAGGAAAATTTTAATTCACAGAAGATCAGTTTTTCACTTACAATACAAAACAAGCTGTATCAAAAATAAAAATAATTAAGGTAATGATAAATAATTTGCTGTACTTTTAAAAACCCCATTAAAGATTTGAAAAGCATTAAGCAACACATGAGTGAAAGACCCTTTCTGATATCTAGGACATAATAATAACTATTTTAAAAGTAGATACCTTCTTCTTTACTTTGTTGCTGTACTTTTATTTCCTCAACACTTTTCACTGTCAAGATAATTTTTTGTTTACTATTTTCACTTTTAAATAAATAATATAATATTTTAGGCTAAATTAATAATTTTAAACTTTTAGAAAACTACAAAGGTAGAATAATAGAGATGAGCACTGGCTACAATATTTTTTTTTTAAATTTTTGCCCGAATATTAATTAATATACTTTTACCAAATAGTTTTTAATGCCTTGATTTTCAAATGTACCAAAATTGCTTTTTGAAGACATTTCCCCCCCCCCCCCCCTATATACACCTTAAGATTTAAATCTAAAAGATTTATTCTTGAAGCATTCATTTTCCTGTTCCTACCATGAAAGTTTTTCATAGTGATAATAGATGATTTCTTCTTCTTCTATATCTTAAGGGCCCACGATCAATTTATTGATCATTTTGGCTCCTATGCATGTAGAATGATTTACAATTAACTGTTACTGTTAACATACTAAATATAATCTTACTTACTTGTCACAATCTCACTAAGTTCTGAGGCTCTAGCTACAACTTGTTTAAGCTTTTCAAGATCTTTCTTGGCATAATGTTGGCGTTTCACATTTCTCATCTTTCTCCTATGCTTGCTTCTAATGCTTTTTGCCATGGTATCTAAAAATAAATAAAAAATAATTTCACACACAAAAGCATGGCCATGGGAATATTTATTTATAAATTTGTTACCTAATGGAGGGCTAGAATTTCAAACTGTTTACTACTGTAAGAATAAGACTAAGTTTAAATCAAAAGCCAGTGATTAAACATTCTAAACAAGGAATAGCCCATAATTTTACAAGTTTATATAGGCCTTAATATACTTTAAACGCTGCCCTACAGCCAGGCCTTAGCACATTAGTATTAGACAATAGGCTTAACAATTATAATGCAATAAGCTTAATGATAATTCATCTCAAATCAGCCTAATTATAATTCATTATAGTCTTAATTAGCCCTAGCTTCTACTCTTAGCATTCATATTTAGGAACTTTCACTGAAATTTTAAATATTGACGGTCGTAAAAGATATATTATTTTAAATGGCTAAACTACAAGCTTTCCAAAACACCAAGTTCATCTTTCTAACTTTTATAGAAGTGGTGTTATGTTTATTTTTAAGCACCTTGTATAATCTTTGTATTTAAAGACATAAACTTGTGACCTACTTTTATCATTTCTAAATCATTTTGCCCACAACTTGTTTAATGGCACCAAATTTTCAGGAGACATTCTCAAAGTATTATACAACACAATGAACAACATAATTTTTTACATAATATCAAGACTTTTTTTTTTGAACATCTAATAGATGGTAACTTCATAAGAAGAAACAAAATTATATATAATCAAAAAAGTGACACATGTACATTCTATTTTAATGACTGGTATGTGATTAGAAGGTAATGAGGATGTTCTGTCTCAGTTTCTGGTTAGACTGCTCTACATCACTTCTTGCTCTTGTTGATGAATCCAACAATCTCCCCTTCATTAAATTTGTCATCAACGTCCAAACATGCTTTACAATGATAAAGGAAGGAATTCCACAGAAATCTGCAAAAGTCTCAATAGAATATTAAAATTTTCTCTTGTACCTGCAAAAAAACTAAAAATAACATCGAATAATAATCTTATTTTGTTCATATTAATTAATCCACTTTTTGTGTATTATTTTACCGTATTAGAAAAATTATCTATGCCAAATATAGTGTCCCTATGTTTTTGAAAACTGTTTATTTCTTTTAATCTTAAAAGTTTAATTATTGTGTATGTCCTATTTAAGATGGTATAATGATGTGGAGGCCCATTTATTCATATAATGTTTTATAAATGAACACTTGATAGTTTATAGGCTAATTTTAATTGTATAATTTTAAAGAAGTCTAAGAATGACTCAATTTTCACAACAAAAAAATTGATTTAAGTTTAGCAGTGTTTCAGTGTGATTTGCCTTATGCTAGACTTTTAGTGATTTATTTTTGGGAGGGGGGTTGGTTTTTCAAAGTCTATCAAATGTGTTAATTATAATAGTTAAATTCTGATAACTATGACAAAATATACCATGTTTAAATTATCACTTGAGCTATAAATCCTGTTAAGCTTTTATATATTTGGTTACTTTTACATATGGAGCGTAAAGTCATTTAACTCTTTCCATGCCAGGGGGTTTTCCACGTTCGTGCCAGACCAGTATTCGGCCAATGGAAATTTTTTAGGGTGCTCCTATCTATTAATTAATTTTGAATACATTTCTTTTAGCAAGATAGCTGTATTTCATATCAAATTAAAGGAAATTAGACAGTAAGAGCTATCCTTCGTTTTGGAACAAAAAAAGTCGGATTAAGAGCCGAAAGAAACGAAATAAACTACATAAATGATATCGACAGTATACTGTGGGTTGGCACGAACACGACCAGTCAAATCGACAGTATACTGTCGATTGGCACGCAAAGAGTTAAGTTAGTAAACACTGGTAACTTATTGAAAATGCGATTATAAACACTATCAGTGTCAGTAGTAATAAGATTTATTGAGAGAAATTCCGGCATTTCTGACATTTTCAAAATTAAACCTTACCATGTATTCATTACACAGCTGTGCAAAACAACAAAGTTTGCATTAGGCAGCGTTTAGGAAGGTAATCCTCTCGACATCACTCACACTGATAAAGAAATTCATCTTTAAATTTAAATGAAAATTTCTGCCGAAAAAATAAATAGTCGGAGGTCACGAAAATCACACGCTGAAATTAAGCATGTCAAAACAAATCACCTCATTTTTTGAAAAGCACAGACCTTAATGCGGTGAAGTATTGAAGTACCAATTTATATTATTATAAGTTATAAGTAATTATTATTATAAGTATTATTAAGTATAATAAAAACTTGTCTAAGTCACTAGAGCTCAATTTTAATTTTTGGGTAGATCATAGATGTCCGATACTGATGCCGATGCTATGACTATGACAACTCAGTCTGACTATGGGCATGGCATCTACTACTTACCAAATAGCTGGTAGGTTAGTCAATTTTCAATAAATTAGGCCTAGGCCTAAGTAGGCATACCGATACCCGCTTGCGCATTCGTTCTGCGCATATGGAAAAAAAACGCAAAAATTGAAGTGGCCATCTTACAATCGCTTCTACGGTGACGTCACAGTTTCCTATTTGTACATTTGTTTTGTCATCGATGACGTTTAATATTTGTCTTCCGGTGACGCACATGTTTTTAGAGCGACTGGATTGAGCTCTGTTCTTTTTTTGTGACACTTTGACCGTACGGTAAGCTATAAATATGTATTATATACTCCTTTTCAGCAATTGCACACCCTTTAAACCTAAAGAACCAAGTTAAGCATCCAAATTAGATGGGAAATAACTTTGAAATCGCCAATTTACCATTTTCAATTTGTAATAAATATCCTTCCAAGTGTCATGACCCCACCAGCACCGGGAAAAAAAAATGGTGGATTTTTATTTTTGCACCGGGATGATTAAAGGGGCTGTAGATACTTCTTAATAAGATAGTTTTAACACATTAGTAATCTTTGAACATCGAAATAAATCTAATACAATTAGTAAAATGTATTATGAAATATCAAAGAAACTTATATGATGATGATTAGAATTTAAAAAAAATTACATTGATTGAAATTGAAGCTTGCTTTTTTTTTTTTTTTAAAAGTGGAGAATCGTATATATATTATTATTATTATTATATAGTATAACAATATAAAAAATTATTATTCAATATACAATTATAAAAATATTTAACCTATGAATAAATAAAATATGAAATGTAATTTAGGAATAATCTTTTTATAGTAAAAAATAATTTTCATTTTGGAAATATCAATAATAATTATTAGTATTAATTTAAACAAAATTAAAAGTAAAATTATTGCCATAATTTCTAAGAATTTGATTTTGTTTTTTTTCCCCAGCTATAGGAGAATGTCTGAGTCTGTTACCCTTCAGGATTTTGATCGTTTGGTGGCAAGCTTTGCCCAAGATGCAGCCACTGGAATGTATAGGAATGGCTATGCATTCTATTTGTATACCAGCTGTGCCAACAAGAAAGAGGGCATGATGGCTGCAGTGTCTGCACTTGATGAGGTCTTTATTAAGAAAGATCTCAACTATGTGTCAAATAAGAAAGGAATACGTACTCGGTGTGACAGATTGTTTACTGATATCTTATATTTAAAAAGGCATTTCACTCTAAAATGGATGAAAATCCAAGATCTTTTGTTTCAGCCTTTTCAAGTTCCAGTTGCCAAGGAAAAAAAGATTGTGCCTTCCAGCTCATCTGATGCTGCAACTCCATTAACAGATGAAATGTTTCTTCCATAGGTAGCTCAGCAGGAATTAGAGGCTCCACCACCCCTTAAGAAGTTGCGCACTGATTGTAATCAATGCCACTCCATAAGGCAAAGGTGTATAGCCAGATGCCAGTTTTTTGAAAATAAGTTGAAGGTTGTTAAATTTAAATTAAATGCTAAGTCACTTCACAGGTCCCCTGAGACAAAAGTGTTGACTCAGACCATAAAGAGGAAAACGGTAAGGGTTGAGACACTAAAGCGGGAGAAGACAGCACTGAAGACCAAGGTGCTGCACTTGGAACGACAACTGGGAGCGTCAGCAACCAAGATGGAGAAGTGCAGTCTTCTGAGCAGAAGGAACCGCATCCTGCAGAAGAAGGTCACCAAACTACAGGAGGAGGCGTTTCAGCTGAAGGCTACGCTAAAGGCAACGACGGAGGACAGGATAGAGGCACTCTTGAAGGTGGATGAACTGATGGAGGCGTCTGAGAAGGTTAAAGTAATCATTACCACATCTGCAAAATCCACAGGCACCCATGGTAAAGCTCGTAGGCAAAGATATACCTATAATACTCCCATGAGGAAATGTATATATAATTGCATTTTGAACCAGGTGCCTGTGGATAAAGCTGGAATAGTGATTGACTTTATTGTCCGAGAGCTGGCTGGACAGACCTTGTCAGACGTCCCCTGTGCATCCACAGCTGCATCCATGACCTATGAGCTGGGAATCCTCTCTGACCTTCAAGTCGGTGAAGCATTGTTTAAGGCTAATAATGTTGCATTAGCCTGAGACTCTACACCACTTGACGGACAGCACATTAACGCCTGTAACATTTCTGCTGATGGGCAGAACCTGACTCTCCAGACAGCAGGAATAGCAGGTGGTAAGACAGAGGATTACCTAGAGCAAGTCATGAATGCACTTCAGGATGTTGCCTCTGTGTACTCGAGCTTCTATAAAATTCAACAGCAAATGGTGCTGTATACTTTTAATCTCTCTCTCCAGGCAACGCTAAGCGATCGAGCTCGGGTGAATAAGTGTGTGTCTCAGCAACTGGAAGAGACCCTAGGCAAGAAGCTAGTGCAGCTGAAGTGCCACTTACACCCTCTGGACGGCATGGCCACCCAGGCCAGGAAGGAGCTCAAAGCTTTAGACGTTGAGTGGGAGATTAAGGGTAGTGTTTTTGGAAGTGAGGGCTGTGCAGCAAATTTGGTTTGTGCTGTATCTAAATTGAGGTAAATATAAATAATTATTATTTTGTACATTCTATTCAAAATTTGTTTTTTTAAGTGCTATGTTTTTTTAAATTGATTGTAAATTTGAGATACTAACATTTTTTCTTTACATCTGCAGATACAAAATGAAATCAGGAGATCCATCAGGGTTTAAGGCCTTCCTTGAGAGATCTAAGCTAAACCCAGGAGTCATAGTACGCTATGTGGGGAACAGACTCCATGTTCTGTTCCACCTAGCAGGGATCATTGTCCACCTGAAGGATATGCTATCCCAGTACTTGACTAAGTA